ACAGGCAGCGCGCGGCTCCGCACCACCGCGCCAGCCGCCGAGCCCGCCGCCCGCCGCTTGCCGCAGCCCAGGGAGAAGGAGACCGGCACAATGGAGGCTCCGCGCCTGGGTCGCAGCAGCATGAGCAGCCCCACCAGCCCCTGCGAAGATGTGATCAAGAACCTGAGCCTGGAGGCGATCCAGCTCTGCGAGAGGGACGGTAGGTCCGGGCTCCGCGAGCTAATCCTGGCACAGCCTGACACTGCCCCGTGCACGCCGATCCGAATTGATCCCGCGGCGCACGGCCTTTGTCAGCCGCCCGTTTCTGTTGTGTACCCCCCCCCCCGGCCGCCGAAGAACAAAAGGAAGGGATGAGGGGGCTGCACCGTGTTAGGGGACCCACCCCTCTTGGAAATCGCCCCTTCCCAGGCAGCGCGGCTGCGTTCGGGCTCTCACTCGCCTGCTGCCCTTCGCGCTCCGCAACGTCATCGCGGGGTTCGCTCCGAGACAGGCATTAGCGAGCTAGCGGCAGATTTGCAGCAAGGTTCCAAGTCTAGAGACCGGATTGCAATGATTTGTATTAGCCATGATCAGGACTGGAGCTCAAATTCCTTTGTAGCGTTTGTGTCCTAGGGTAGTTGTTTTATATAGAAAACATACATAGGCGTCTGCTAGCTGTAGATTGCTGGTGCAGAAACTTGTTGCCAATTCCTTTTTAATGTTTGTTTTTGAATAATAACCCAGAGAATGAATTATCACCCTGTTTCTCAAAATGGGGTTTGGAGTGCTAAGGGAGATTGGGAAAGAAGGAGTGGGTTTACGTATTTCAGCACCATAGACAGAAACAACCTTCATGATTCTGGGCAATGGTTCAAAAATTGCAAAGCATCTGTACAGAATTGGCCAGATACATCTGGTAGAATGTGTGACTGATGCTATACATTCTGTGCCTTAATATTAAAACCTTTGCTTTGTAAATAGAGTTCTAAGTCTAATGCTTAATAGAATTGGAGTAAAAAAGGCTCTAAGTAGGAACAAAATTGGTATACAGTGTCGGTAGTTGTGCTAAATGGGATAGTTTGACAGTGGAAAAATGAAGTTTTGTTTTACAGTGCAGAAGCAATTTTAAGGATTAGCACAAACAATTACAAGGTGGTAATGAGGAGCCAAGAAGGAACCGTTTATATACTAATATCCTGAAATTTAGGGCTACCAATTTTAACTGAGGTTTTTATTAATTATACACAATTATGTCTAACTTCCAAGAGAAACATGATACTCAAATAACAGATAAACTTGTGTATAGAAAAATGACATGAGTAAAAAATTTTCTGTTTTGCAGAATAAAATTTAGTCTTGTGTTCAGTTATCTGAGTTTTTCTTGTCTCCTCGTTTTGACATTAAAAGCATAAATAACTTCAACATAATTGGATAGTATTTTTCAGTTTAAGTAGTGAAAGAACAGAACTGAATTTGTGTATTTAGTGAATTTACTGAACATTTGGGTTATTATGCCAATGAGTTAATCTATGTGGATTAATTTAACTTTTTTGTCCATGTGGATATATGTTTGGAGCATAATTATTGTAGGTATCAGTTAATTATGGAAATAATAATTCTGATTTTCTTTAGTATTAAGTTACAAGTATGTCATTGTTAAATATTTCAGTACTTTTGATTTAACCAGAGTTGATCATCTCAAAGTTGAGGTTTTGTAAAGTCTGATATTAAAAAATAAATGTTAAAGAAACTGAGAAAGTATTTCAGTAGAGCTTTCAGTTACTTTTATGGCAACATTCTTTTTGTTTTCATATTTTAAATATTGATTTGTATTTGATTCAAGGTAGAATGTGTGCTTTCATCACTATATTTACACCTAAATCATTGGTTAGGAAAACTTAATTATGTATACATAGAATATATTTGAGCATCTAAATCATTACCTATATTTAATCAGTGCATTTGTGTGTATATATATTATTTATTATTTATTTTGATGCACCTTCTTGAAAGGCTTTTGTCATTCAAGAAAAAGCCTTGTTGTTTTGTCAGACATATACAGGTTGAACCTCTCTAGTCCGGCACTCTGGTCTGGCAACATTCATGGTCCAGCAGTTAGTCGGAAGTTCACTTATCATGAGTGTGGCCAAGTTTTCTATGGTCCCATAAAGGTTGTTTACAGCCACCTGCCCTGGCTCTTAGAGTTCTGTGCTATTATTTAGTTCTAATTTACCCCACATGTCTTCTAAGAGCCTAGTAAACAGTGGAAGTGTTGGCAGACAATATTGACCTCTGTGGTTTGGCAAATTCTCTGGTTTGGCACCAGTCAGATCCTGAGGGTGCCAGACTAGAGAGAGTCAACTGTATATATATGAATCACGGATAACAGATAAAATAAAGATTTTGTTGGATGTTGATAGATGGAGAAGCATACTGTGATGAAATTAACTTTGCAGTTACAATTTCCTCTAAATCTGAAGGAATAGATTGCTGTTGTTTGACAAAATTCCCTTACATTTGATTTCATACATTGGAATAAACAAATTAAATAGTCTTTAATTTTTTGCCTTCCCCCAATCCAGGGTTAATAAAATCTACTATGTTAATTGCTGCAGTCTTCTAATTGAGTTAATACACTGTAATAAGCAGTACTCAGATTTTGTTGAAGTATCTCATGCAGAAGAATTGATTTTTCTTTTTGGCTTTTTAAAATCAAGAATTTCCTGTTTAAAGTGTCATCACTATAAAACAACAAGTTTCTCTTCTGTATATCTGTTTTTTCAGGTTAATCTTCATGCATATTAAACCCCAATACCTGATCGATTCATTGCTTCATGAAATACACATCTAAATTTTGAAAAGATGCACCTGCATTTCACATGAATTTTGTGTCTAATTGGCCATAGAATTGCACTAGAACATATTTGAGTATTTCCAACAGGTGGCACTTAAAAATAAAAAAAATCATGCTTTGAGTGAACACAAAAACAAGTAGATGAGCCTGGGTATCTGTAGCGTAGAGTGCAAGAATATATTTAAGCATCTAAATTGGTACCTACATTTATCCTGTGAATTTGTGTGTATACATATTATTTATTATTTATTTTGATGCATCTTCTTGTAAGGCTTTTGGTGCTCAGGGTAAAATGTGCCCCACTGAAATCAATGAGGATTTTGTCAGACTTTCTAATAAAAATGAATGTAAATCCTTTAAAAATGTCTTTTTCTATGCAAGGTTTATAAAATTAAAAGAGCAGGCACTAATTTAAAAAAGTGTGAAAAAAACCTATGAAAAACAGAACTGTGCCTTCAGTTTTAACATGGGTCGGTTAGGGCACAGTTGCACTTCGCTTTTGCTGGGGCTTTGTAGATAAGATCTTAGTGTAAGGAAGTTTTTTTCTCAATAGTTGCACAAACTGTCTCCATCTTTATTCAACTTCATTTCTGTTTTCATAATTATCTTCTCCTTTCCCTCCTTGTTCATCTCCCTCATTGCTGTTTGCACACTTCAGATATGTGTAATTAGTTATCAACCAAATTAGCTGACTTGTAGCTAAACAATACATATTTAGTTCTCTTAATCTTTTCTCATAAATTAATCTCTTCACTCCTGTGCACATTTCCTTTACGCTTCTCTGGTCTCCTTCCAGTTTGTCTGGAAAGAGGTACCCTGAACTGAATTAAATATTCCATGTGTAAACACAGCAGAGCCAGATAGGGTATGTGTGCACTACAGCTGGGAGTATGCCTCCCAGCTCAGGTAGACAGACATATTCAGATGGACTTGTGCTTGGCCATGGACTCAGATGGACTTGTGCTTCCCTATGATGCAACATTCACACCACTATTTTTGGCATGCTAATTTGAACAGATCTCATGAAAGTCTGTCAGCCTGAGCTAGGAGATGTGACCCTGGTGACTAGATGCCAACGCAGGTTCAGGCCTCACAGAACACTTACTCTTACTCGCAAATCAATCTTGCTTACCTGTGCATTACTATTACTCAAATACATAGTAGATTAGAATGAGTTTAGTATTTTATAAACTGTATGTAGAATACAGCATGTACTGTTTCCCCTCAACTATACTTCATGTTATATAGTGATACCAAGAATTTGCACTGTAAACCTCTATGACTAAAAAGTATGTCATCTGAAGAAGTGGGCTGTGCCCACGAAAGCTCATGATACCATCGACATGTTTTGCTAGTCTATAAAGTGCCACCAGACCATTTGTTGTTTTAAAAATGTATCCTGTACAGACTAATTCGGCTACCCCCTGAAGCTTCCTTTATGACTATGTAACTCATCAAAGAGGGAAAAAGCCTTGTGTTATGCAGATGATGGTCAGTAACAAGATGTTAAATCCTGTTCATTAGATGCAAATGAGCCATCGTGTGAGATCAAGGACCAAGGACTTTAAGTGCCCTCCTCCCCAACCCACTTCCATGAAGAAGGAACCTTCATGGCAGTGGTTGGGATCAGATTGATGTCTGAGTGAAGAAGATATAAAAATGCTTCACAAGGAAAAATGATAATCTCTTTGCTGTTTAAAGGCCAGAGACAGTAAACTAAAGCAGAGGTTCCTGGGGTAAACCTAGGTCCATCCTGACAGACATTTTGAATTGACAGATTACTATATCTCTGCCCTCATAGGTGGTAGCTCATTTGTGCATATGTGATTAGTGCTTTAACCTGTAAATTACTCTCATCACTGTCAAGGATTATCTGGCCTCCTGACTACTACCCCGTGTTACTCATCCATGTGGGCACTAATGATACTGCAAGGTGTGACTTTCAGCTGATCAAGAGTGACTACACGGCTCTAGGGGCACGGGTGAAGGAGTTTGGAGTGTAGGTGGTATTCTTTTCAGTCCTTCCCATCAAAGGTAGGTGCCCAGGCACAGAGACAGACCTTTGAAGGAATGGTAGAAGGGAGAACAGCAAAATAGAGACAATGGATTTCAGGAAGGCAGATTTTAGTAAACTCAGAGAGCTGGTAGATAAGGTCTCATGGGAAGGAAGACTAAGAAGAAAACAAACTGAAGAGAATTAGCAATTTTTCAAAGAGACATTATAAAGGGCTCAACAGCAAACTAAACCACTGAATAGCAAAGATAGAAAGTATGGCAAGAGACCACATTGGCTTAACCAGGAGATCTTACATGATCTAAAAATCAAAAAGCAGTCCTGTAAAAAGTGGAAACTAAGTCAAATTACG